CCCCGCCGTTGATGGCCCTTCACTCCGACGCCTTCTTTCTTCACACTGGCCGCGGGCGCCTCAAACATGCGGACCGGTGCTCTAAGCGACGGGGATGGGGTGGGGGGGAACGTCCGCAAAGATGGCGACGGGCTGCCCCGTATGCAAAATACCCATCGCCCCCTCCCCTCCGCCCTCCCGGTGGCAAAGGTAAAAGGGTCGGGTTCAAGCCACTGCCTCCGCCCGCTCAGACTCCATCTTCCTTCCTCTTCGCTCGCGGTTAGACCGGTTGTGCGGCAGGCTTCGCAGCGCAAAGCCGCCCACGGCAAAGAGAGCTCTTCTTTACCCACCGAGACACGCACCGCCCGTCAGACGCTCCGCCATGCGGCACTGCTGCCCGCCGGCCTCAGCCGCGGGGCCGGAAAAAAAACCCTCGACGCCTGCAAGCACAAGGCGGTCTTTTACCTCAGGATTTGGCGCCAAGCTATCTTGGCTGTGGCTTCCTCTTAACGGTTCGCTGGGCCTGGTTCGTGACGGGGGGGGGGGCCTCCGCCGCCGCCGCCTTCCTCCAAGGAGGGGGGCAGCGGAAGGCGGAGATAGCGACACCGAAGGGGTTAGCGTAGGAGCGGGGGGGGGGTGCAGGAGGAATGTTGGTGGGGGGAGGGGAAAAGAGGGTGCCTTTTTGGCGAAAGGTCAGAGTTCGTGACCCCTTCAGGCACTGTTCTCTCCCCGCTGTTGCCGCCTGGGAGCGTTCGCCTGCTTCCTCTTCACAGCATTACGCTTGTCGTGGCCCCCTCCATCTCTCTTCTCCCCCCCCCCCCACTCCGCCTAATAAGGCGGGGCTGGGCCAGGGGAGAGGAGGGGCTACCTGAGGTGGAGATGGCTTCGTGCTCTCTCGTGCGGCGCTAGTTCCGTCCGCTCCTCAGTCCCGAACGGTCGGTGTTTGAGGCGGGAAAGCAGCGCGGCATTCTTGCCAGGGCTAGGAGATCTACACGTACCTGAAGCGGGCGCGGGTGAAGCTGCCTTTAAAGAAAAGTATCGGTTCTGAGCGATGCAGTCGTGTTCGCTTTAATGGAAGCGACAGGGTTTAAATGTGGAGGCGGGAGAGGAGTCCGCCTTTTGATCCCTCGCCTCTCCATTTTGATACAGGTACAGACCTCGATTTATCGACCGTACAATCGATCCCGAAATTTATGTTGTTAAATGAATTTTGCCCCATTTTACGACTTTTCTTGCCACAGTTGTTAAGTGAAACACTGCACTTGATAAGTGAGTAATAGGGTTATTAAGGGAATCTGATTTCCCCATTGATTTTTCTCCTCAGAAAGTCGCAAAAGGGGATTACATGACCTTGGGACACAGCAATGGTCCATAAGTTTGAACCATTTGCCAAGCATCTGAATTTTGATCACACGATTGTGGGGGTGCTACAAAGGTCATAAGTGAAAACATAAGTCTCTTTTTCCAGTGCAGTTGTAACTTTGAACAGTCACTAAATGAACTGTTGTAAGTCAAGGACTACCTGTCCTTTGCACCATGAGAAAAAGTACAGGAGCTCTTTCTTTTAACTTCTACAGGGGTGGGATATTGTTATTTCCACTAAGGGTGATGATTTGCACCCCACTTGCAGTCCATTCAGTGTTCAGAGGTTGAGTCCAGTCTTGTGTCCTTGAGGTAAGAGGCTTCAATGCAGTTTTGGTGGAGGCAATACAATATTAGCTGACATTGTGCCTCATTGAACAAGGAGCCATTGAAATTAGCTCAGGTCTTGCTGTACTGCATCTTCACCGACTCAATTTATAACATCTTGCCTAATAAAATATCCAGGAAATACTGATCTTTTTTATATTCAGCTACTGTTGTCAGATCAGTGTGAATTCTGTTATGGTGTAAGTAAAATTAGTCAAAACTTTAACCGCTCACTGTTAATCCACCACCAATTGCAATGTATTCTCTTTTATTTTTATTTTTACTATTGTTTTAATGCTTTTATTTGCTGTCAATACACCACCAATCACTATATATTATTCTGCCTGTCCTTTATTTTTGTTTCTTACTATTATTGTTTTAATGCTTTTATTTGCTAGTCTGTGACCATAATGATTGAGGTAAGATATACTTACTGGCCAATTTGAAGAACATAGATATAGATAAAATTATGACTACATTCTGTTCTGTTACAGTTCACACAAGCAGCTATTTCACTCTGAGCTGTTGCACTAAACTCCTCTCAAAAGAGCATAAATAGCTTCTCTTTCAGGAGCAGTGATAACTTCTTGGCTTGGTTGTGCTTTGAGTTAATGTGATAGAATATGAATTACAAGAATAGATGGAATTTTAACTAATGATGGAAGAATTTTAACTGGTGGTGGAATTTCAAGTAGTTGCAGGAGCTTTCTGGAATTGGAACTATTGGGGGCATAGGAGGCAGTGGGGTTGTCTCAGCTGTCTGAGGCTCTTAGTGTAGAATGCCGGTCCTGAGTTGATCAACTATTCTTACTGTTGAACTATTTAATGTCTGTATGTAATTCTAAAACATCTATAAGTCCTCAACATATGACTAGCCACTTAACTGTTCAGTGTTATAATGAACTTCCCCAGAGCTACTTATGACCGAATTTCTAAGTAATGATATCTGAGCACACACTTCCCCATAGTCACATGATTGCATTTGGGGCACTTGGCAACTGGTTCTCCTTAGTAACTGTTTGCAGGGTCCCAAGGTCACATGACTGCAATTTGTGTTGTTTATTGCCAGTTTTGGGGAAAATGGATTTGTTGACCAAAATATTTGCTTAACAACCTCTGTTCACTTTATGAGCACTTCAAAAAAAGCAAGTCCAGTCAGATGAAATCTTGACTTAGGGATCACAATGTCTTAACTGTAATTCTGGACTGTATTGTGGTTGTAACTCAAGCAATAGCAATAGCAGTTAGACTTATATACCACTTCACAGTGCTTTTACAGCCCTCTCTAAGCTGTTTTACAGACTCAGCATATTGCCCCAACAATCTGGGTCCTCATTTTACCAACCTTGGAAGGAAGGAAGGCTGAGTCAACCTTGAGCCTGGTGAGATTTGAATTGCCAAATTGCAGGCAGCTGGCAGTCCGCAGAAGTAACCTGCAGTACTACATTCTAACCACTGCACCACCGCAACTACCAGGAAATATTTGATTAAATAAGATTGTTTTTGTCACAAGCAAGTTTAAATATATTCCTAAAATGTGGTTACTGAATTCATAACCTCATTGTGTAGTCTATACAGAATAATAAATTATTTTCTTAAATACTGCAAACTCATATTGCTGAATTACAGTAGGTTATATGACCCAGGAATTCTCGCTTCTCACAAGGGTTTCATGCACTATTTTATGCACTCTAGCAAATGGTCTCCATAAAATTCAACAGCACTGAGATATAATCAATTCATTGTCAATTTCATTTTTTTACCTAAATGAATGGTTATTTTTCCTGTATGTTAACTTTTACATTACATTTTTGTGCTACTGGTTCTACATCCATGGGTCTAATAAAGGTACATACTCCTTTTCTTAAACAAATTAATGACTTTGAGTGATTTCTTTAACACATACCCTTAGGTTCCGTGAGTAAATACAAGATCAGGAAAATTGAATAGGAACGTAGTTTTTAGTGCAGAATGGACAAATATTTTTTTCTCAACAGAAAAAAAAGTGTATCTTGTGTGTCATGAATCAATAAGTATCTCTCCCAAAATATTACATCTTGACTACATTTAGAGACAACAAGACTAATGGGGGGGTTTACATTACAATTGCTATTATATAATTTAAGTGACCTTTAAAGCAAAGGAAAACGTCAGAAAATGTTTTATAGAAGGCAACTTTTAAAGACATCTATGCAGATTGCTATGTCCAGGTTATACCCAGAAGAGAGAAAGAATTGATAGCTAATCCCAAACGACTTCTAAAAAAAAAGCTGACATTTTTTTCCAAACTTATCAGTTAGCTGGGAATTTTTTTTAAAAAAAAACCCATCTATTAGCTGTTGATGAAAAAAAAAATATACAACACAATTCATTTTTATAAGAGGAATCAATAAAGTTTAAAATTACCCAGGAATTTGTTAGAACTTGTGCTCCATGCCTAGTTACACAACTAAAAAAGTAATTTGTGATGAAGTCATAAAACGTCTTAAAGAAATATTGAAACGTGATCTGATGAATTTGTCAACAGAATTTGGGTACCTGCTCTTTAGATCAATGCCCCTCCCCCACCGACTCTTGAAGCAATCCAGTTGGAGGGTGGTGGTGTGTGAGTGGGTTCTGGCAGTGGTCAGTTTTTCCTGGGGATTATTCCTTCACATGTTAAGCTTTGGGTTGTCCCCTGCTCAAGAAGTCATCACTGGACTACCCTATATTACACAATTCTTCCAATATCTAACCTTCCCTTTTGGGGAAGGTGATTTGAGAAAAATGGTTGACTGGATGAGCAGCCAGCCAGTAGAACATGCTGCTGTGTAAAGCTATGGGTTCTTTGCTGAAAATCTTTAAACACAGCTGGTTATTTGTTGAGTGGATCGGAAGGGATGGACACATCATCACAATATGGTATAAAGGTCTGGTATCTGAAACAGTTGCTGACTCTGACTTGAGTCTGAGTCTACATCATAGTCAGCAACCTATGTCTCTAGCTTTGAATCTTGTAGCAAAAGATTCTTGAATTTTGGGATTCCCAATCGGCTGAGTCATGTATGGAAAGAGGGGGGATATAAGAACAGAGAGAAACTTCATGTCCCAGGCTTGGAAGTTAAACTCATTTGAAAACAGCTGTAGGTTTCCTGCCTGATTAATCTTAGTTTCTTCCTGTTGACAGGCTGAGGGAGCAACCTCAGAAGCAGGAAAGGCTGTTGGATGTCTAAACATGATTCCCCATCCCTTTTGAAAAACTTGAAATTTTTTGGGGGGAGAAATAACTCATCCATCACTTCTACATACTGTGAATATAATTAACCTGTGAACCACTGACACAATAGATAAATACTAACAAACTTCTACGGACTTCTTGGTCATTTTATTTTTCATGTTTCTTAAAACAAAAATTAATATATTTTTACAACAATTTGAGTAGTAGTTTTTTTTCTGTAGGCTTAATACAACAGTTAATGCCAGCACCAAAATGTCATAAGAATTGTTCTGTACTGCATGTTCAGTTTTCAGTCTTGCTTACAGTGCTGTCTGAAAACCCTTGAGTACAATAGATTGCAGCTTTCATTACTGAGTGGTTTACATTTGGTATTTAAACATTGCTTCTGTCAGTGCATTTTTATTTATTTATTTATTATTGCAGTCTTCCATTTCTTTTACATATTGTAAGTTCTGTAAGTAGGTAACAAGGTCAAATTCGTAACCTGTCACCCAAGCGAGTCTTAAATTTTTATTTTCATTTTTCTATACTGACATCATGAACTAAAGAAAAAAATGTTGAAATAATGAAATGGTAAAACTTCATACATTGTTGTGTTCCCTCCCCTCCCTGGGCCATTTACAGTCTTGAATTGAAACAAATGAGTTCATTTGAAAAACAAAATGTAAACCTTTATACAAAGAGGAAAGAAATTATTCCAGTTCAAAGTTTAATTAGCAGATCAGGTCATGGTCCTGAATATAAATACTAGAGATATTTAACAAGTGTATCTTACTGTACATCTGAAATCTTCAAAGGCTAAAAAATGGAAATCTGTTTCATTGAAAGGTATTAAATCTTGTATTTTGAGAATGGTGTTTCGAAGCTCCCTATCATCATCATGCTTCCTCATGGCAAGCAGAATTGTATCAGTTTTGCAATAATATTGGTTATGCTGTTTTAATAGCACAATGCTGAAATCTCCACCCTAAACACTTTTTGGGTAGCAGAATGTTTCTGCAACAAATCATGCATCACATTAGTGTTGCTCTAGTAGTCCTTAAACCTTATTTGAATATAAAATATTTTGAGACAAGATAGTTTATCTCCCTTTGATTGCTGGTATTCTGTTTCATTGCCGTGCTAAGTATTTGGTGGTTTGGAGATGGTTTGGGAGGTGTGTTGATATAAGTGGTCTTCTGTCATGGGTTCAAGCGGCTGCATTCTTTGGAAGGCTCAGGTGAGTGTTTCATGCCATCTGGGCACGTGTGGTGCACATATGACCTCTTGGTTTTGTTTGTAGTCTCAGTGGGTCTCTGTATATTTTTGTGGATGCACTGCCAGCTAAGGACAGCTTTGGAAGCAACTCTGCAAATTTTCAAGAAGACACAGCTGCTTTGCTT